ATGTGGAATTTATTGGCTACATATTACACAGATTATGCACAGCGGGAGGAGCAATAACCGTCAAATAATAATTCAGACAGGGGAGCTCCGCACTCCCTGCCTGCCGCTAGGGGGTGCTGCAGCGCCCTCAGCACCCCCCTTCCCGCGCCCATGGGTGGTACTATCCTGGGGAGAAAAAAGTACCAATTTCTATTGGCTGGGCGAATTGCAAACCACTCCCCGTAAAACTTTGAAAAGTTTTGTGAAGCCGCCATTGTATTTGCTGGCATTAGCATTATTAGCATTAGCATTAGCCCTCCGCACCAATGGAGAAAGAATAACTTATGGCAACACTAAAAAAAAAACATGGGAGCGGTGGAGTGATGAGGAGGTGTTGGCGTTCTGGCGATTTACTCGGAAGGCTTCAGTTGAAGCTGCTGGGCCAGTCCCCAACTCTGGGGACTTCCGGCCGGGGACTTAGGGTGGCAGTATACGCCGTGAAGTTGTTTGCGGCCTGCCAGTAAACCCAACGCAGAAGAAGGCGAAGTGACGTCAGCGGCTCATTTGCGTAATTTTACCTCAGGGAATTTATTCCGGCGTGACTGCGATCTTTACTTAGTTTCATGGGGGTACTAAGTGCTGGGGCACTAAGTGCCGTCACTAAGTACGGCAAAGTACTTGGTGTGAAAGCGGCTGATTGGCTTTTGGATCAAATTCTTCAACTTAGTTATTTCTTGCAATCCTTATTTCCCATAATTGCAGAGACGTCATTTATTCGGCTTGCTGTCGTCTCACACCTAGAGTAATAGCTGTTGCTTTTCTCACCTGGAAATTGATGTTACAACACTATGCAGTCGATCTCTGGTAATCAGACGTGTGTGGCTTTGTTAGTAAGGATAGAGACACTAATCTCTCTCACCTAATGTTTTAATGCCATTGTTAGCATCTGCTCAGACTGCAAAGCCTATTTATTATACTGCAAGTTCTTACAGGGAAGCTTAGCAGAATTTAGACTATGTAAATGTCCTTCCTTTTGGTCAATGTCTACTATTTATATAAACGTTCCACAATCCTGCAGCTGACAACTTTTACCAGCATGTTTTGAACACAGCAAGGTTTGAGTGATGTATGGAAATCTGTTCACTGAGCTGTCCATGTCCATGTCCACCTGTCTATTAAAAAAATCTACCCAAGAAACATCAGCCTTGTTTTTTAGCGTTAGTCAGGCTGACAAGGCATTTTTAATTATCCCCAAAATGGTTGAACAACATGGAATTTGAATGTTAAATAAGGACCATGTGCAATGCCAGCTAGTTAAGGAGGATGAGCCGAGCCTCCAACAAGTAATTATTCCGTCTCTCTGACTGTAGGAGTTTGGAAGACTGCCATACTAATACTATTCTTGCCATGGCCCTTTTGTTTACTTAATTGTAGTATTTTTTATGAATGGTCACACAAGAGACTCCTTATTTTTTTTTTACCCTTGCTTTAATTATTCAAATAAGGCCCACTTAGTAATGCTACAAATATTATAAACCAATCAGCAACTTCCAATGCCAAAATGTACTTAGTTTATTTAAAAGTGGGTCGTGTGCAGTTTAAAACAAAAAATGTCCCAAAAAAGGATGCCAACAAGCTTTGTGTCATTGGCCATTTGAGTTTGAACCAGAAAGTAGCATATCAGCTCTTCAGGGCCCGATTTGGAGTCAATTGTGTATGTGCTTGATACATTAGACCTACATTTATGAATCAAGAGAGCTTTTATTAACATTTATTTGACCTTTTTTCCTTTTAAAATAATGCATAATTAAGGGTATGGTACATGCTTCACTGCCAAGATGGCGGCTTCTCAATCTGCCCATATTGAAATTACCCATCAGCTTTTCTGAAGCATATGTTTAAGATTACACAGACCATTCCCACAATTAAAAAAGGATTTTCTCAAAACATTTACCACTAACATTGAACCAAATCCAAACCAATTTTCCCTCCTCAACACTCCTCCTCATTGCAGTCAATCTGTGACTTCAATATTAGCTGTTGCTCTCTCAAATGAGATCCATCACTCCTTAGTGTCAGGTGAGATCATTCAGCAAACTGATGGACTTCAATGACTTTCGATTGCGGTCTGATGAGGAAACAAATCAAGTGAAAGTCAATACATCTTCCCACTGTTTTCCCCCAGGGACATATGTGACGCAGGTTACAGCCACAGATGCAGACGACCCCACCTATGGAAACAGTGCCAGAGTGGTGTACAGCATCCTCCATGGCCAGCCATACTTCTCCGTTGACCCCAAAACAGGTAAAGCACATTCTGATTTATGTGAGCAAATCTTTTAGTCAGTGTAGAGTTCAAATACATCTTTGCATTTTCACTTTAAATGTGAAAGTCAACAATAAATACCTGTTTTATGCGCACCTGACAATTGCTGCGAGGCAATTTGCGCAGTAAAATAAGGTCATCTAGGCCATTAGGCTTGAATGATTGAGTATCTTCCAAACATTGTGTGAAATATGCTGCAGTGTGGACCAGTGCAAGCATACATCATGAGAATAAAACGATCCCAGAATTGACCATCGGGCCAATCCACAAATCATGAGGCCATGAAAGGACACATGCTCTCCAATAAAGATGTTGAATTGTTTTTTTAAGGTATGAAGTAAAGGGTCAATTGCACCCGACACTGCATTGATATTAAGCCTTAAAGGTCCAAAAGTAAAATGCTACCCTACCAGATTTAGATTTTACATTTAGGCAATTTGGATTTAGACTTAAATTGACAATTTATATATATATATTTGTTATTGTTTAAACAGTCCATACACTCGTGCAATTCAAGTAACATGTATTGTCATTTAAATTGTCTTTATACTCCTGCCAGTGCGACTGCAAAAAAGTAGGTATAAAATGTATTTTCATGCTCTTTAAAACTCCAAGTTTTTTTAACCCCGCAGAAACCCCAATTTTATCTAAAATCGTTCGAAAATAATATGAAAATTCAGGAGAGTTACTGCAGAGACAGCTAGATAAAACATTTGTAGGTACAGTGGCTAGAGAATTGAGAAATGGTAGTTGCTAACTTCATGCGACATAAAAAAATGTCAGTTGAGCTTCGAAAACCGACAGACTGTCTCTAAATCAAGAAATAAACTGCATTTCAAATCCCCCATTGTCTATCTGAGTCTATGCTTCATGGACACTGAATCGTCTGGGTTGCGTAGCATTAGCTGGCAAACTGTAACATAAGGAAGCTTAAATTGAAAGCAGAAGACAAATAAAATAATATGCTGAAGCAATATTTATGAATACTTGCTGTTTTCTGGTGTAGGCGGTTGGTGTCATGGGAGGTAAATGGTGCTAAAAAGGTTGCAGAGTGGCAGTGACTGCTCTAAATCTGAAATACCTTCAAACCACTAGTGTTTGCCGGCAGTGGGCTGCTGATGGCTTTCCATCTGGGGCAGTTCAAAGCATACGAAAATAGGTTCATACATATCACACAGGCAGATACGAGGGAATCTTTTGCTGATTATGCCGCTGATCCCAGAGCTTCACAGAGCACGTACTGCGACTGTATTTCAAAGTGATGCTGGGAAAAAATCAAACTGTTAAAGTAAATGTTTGCACTGCTGGGCCTGCTTCTATCTCCAAACGCACATCGGCAACGGGAACAACTGCTGGGAGGAAAAAAGGTGAGCAATGGAAGGGTGGGAGACACATAATTCTCCATGTCTGTCGCAGAATTATCGATTTTAGAGATAGACATACCCCTTCTCCAAAAGATGGTGACAGAAATGTTGGATGCACACAGTGAGTGGTTTTGCATTCAGACATGTGTGTGGATCAAGTGCTACATCCTCCTCACCGTACTAAGTGAAAT